TGGCACGACCTGGTTGACACTTTCCTATGTTGTGGGGGAGTTTTTCATCATGAGAGGAGGTTATCATTCTAGATACCATGACGTGGCCACCACTTTTCACGTTGTGGCTATGCTATTATTCACATTATAGATTTTTCCTCACTCGACGACATGAGGTGGTTGACACTTTCCCACGTTGTGGTCACTATACATTGCATTAGTTTTCAATCCTTTGCACCACATTTCAGAAGTCGGTGTTCTTGATTTTATTTTCCGGTATACTCAGAGCAGCAGTTCCAGTTTCCTATCTTCCAACAAATTTATGGAGCAACTTTTAGCAGCCTCATTCGAGCTCGCCACTACTACCCTAGGGGAGTCTGTTCATTTTTCTTCCTTTTTTACTTTGTATGTGCTTAAATAGTTTTATGCATACAATAAGGGCATTGTATGAAATAAGTGTCGGGTAAGGGTCGAAAAAGGAATTTAAATTGGAAGATTAAAAATTGCTAGATTAGAAAATTTTAAAAATTTATAAACTTGAAATAATAGTTTAATTTAGGAAAACTTAGTGATAATTAAAAATTTTGCTAATATTGTATGGGATGATCCAATGAGAACTCAAATGTTTACCTGAGCCAACACATGTTATAGTGTATTTGTGGCTTCCCATTTTTAGTGAAAATTCATGAGATATAAAAGATAATTTGGTAGTTTATATGGCATAATAAGTTTTGCAGTCTGTACTTGAAATCTATCCAGTAGAGCTTTTGTAGTCATTGCACTTAGACTAATACCTCTAACCAATAAAGTTTGAGGTTAAGCTCCATTGCCTAAGTATGTAGGAATTAAGCGAAAAAAGTGAGTTATATAAAAAAAGAGAGAGAAATTACTAAAAAGTTGTAAGAATTTTGGAGCTATTAAAGTATGAAATCCAAAGATCAAAAATTCCGAAGAATCAAAAGTTGAAGATACCAAAAATTAAACAAAAAAAATGTGTTGAATTCAAAGAAATAAAAAAGCAAATATCAAAGAAGTGAAGAATTTCAAGAGCTCCATTGTAGTATCAAAGTTGTAATTGTTCGAGATTATGTATGCTTGGGTAGCTTAACCAAAAATACATTGAGGTTAAAAAGATTTATGAGGATGGATTTGGAGGGTT